AGAGAGAGAGAGAGAGAGAGAGAGAGAGAGAGAGAGAGAGAGAGAGAGAGAGAGAGAGAAATTCCAAATTACTGAATTTGTTTTAACTGTCCACTAATTTCACTCACACATGTAGGCAGAGAGAAAACTAGTTAGTTAGCAACATACAATATAAAATAAAAAAAGTGTATTGTTTCATAGTATGGTTCTGGGGGTAGAAACTTTACTCCTAGCAGTGTTGTTATTCCACATTAAGCTTTAAAGCAGGACACATGTAGTGCTGAGAGACTGAAAGATGAAATCAAGCAGCAACTTTTTTACAATAAATTTTGAGAAATTTAACCTTGAGGAAGTTCTTTAGAATAGAAAACAAAAGTGTACATAGAATATTATTATTGAAACAGGASTATGCAGATGTAGAAACAGTTGAACATCATCAAAAGAAAAATGTTTAACCCTCAACTCTAGCCCGCAAATACACTGATCCTTGTGCATAATTGTATGCAATGYGCTTAATCATCCGTACTTGTAAATACAAGAAGAAATATATTTACTGAGTAAGATTAAAGGTGACTGAATTAGAGAAAGAAGTAAAAAAAAAGATGGCAAAAAATAATRATGATAGTTGTTGAAACCATTGGGTCACTGACACAGGGGCAAGGCAGAACTTGGAACAATACACCCTGTTTCACAAACATGGTTGTGAAGCAAACTCTAATATTCCCAATACCTTCTCTTAGTGTAGGCTCATAAAGAGAAGACAGACAAAGAAAGTAAAGTGGTGGCATGGAGAAATTATCAGTGTCTTTGAAAAAAGCTGTCAGGTGGACAACATGCTTCTTGCTATAGGACATTTAACATTCTTACTCACATTAGTTAACATTCCACTTTCAGTCACTCTTGGCTTGAAAAAAAAAAAGCTCAGAACCTTTATGATAATGTTTGCGGATTTGCTTCATTCATCGCTGATTAAATTGACATCAAAACTGAGTTCAGTGCAGCAGTAAATCAGAGCTAAGAACTTTATGTATTTAGAATCTTAAAATATTCACCAGCAACGTACTTAAAAACTTGAGCAGGATAACCTGCATACTTAAAAGCGTGTCTTTTGCTAACACATTTTATTTTGTAGTTTTAAGTAAGGAAAATCGGAATATAATCTTTATAACAAGCTGTCTCTCTTGTCACAGTGACTACTATTTCTACATTTTTTGGGCAAGTTTTAGGCGCTCAGTTTCCAAGAACTCATGTGTATAAGAAAACCTGGAAAGAAGAAAAACAGTGGAGTGMGAAGAAAAAAAACTGTAGTTGTGAGAATAAACTATAAAGGATTATCCTGGAGATCACTGTCCTTTAGTATATTAGAAGGTATTCCAGTTGATGGTGATAACTGAAGAAATAAAGCAAACATGTTCAGTTTTTTCTTCAAAACATCTAAYACAAGAGTCAAATTACAGTCTTCATTTTCTTTTATAATATATAACTAACTTTAAAACTGTTATTTTTGTTGTAACCATCTGCCTCACCATTTTATTAAATTCAGGATAAAACTCAACAATATTTCTGCCTAAAAAACTTTGTTAAATTGTTTTGTACAAACATATTTCTAGTTTATTATAACAAATATTTTCAATTCAGCGAGCTAGTACATATATTACAAATAACTAAAAAAGGTTCATTTGAAATGCTTTCCCCAAAGATTAGATTTAGAGCTCCTTAAAATGAGGTTCTATCAAAAACTTTTCCAAGTTTTCTCCTTGAAGTGATGATGATGTAGAGACAAAATGAGCTGAAAGTTCTTGTAAAAGGGCTATAATTAGGACAATGTCAATGTACGTGTTAGCATTCAACTTGCAACCAGAGGGTTGCTGGTTCAAATCTCTACCTAAGGGGGAGGGGTGGCGCAGAGGGTAGATAAGCCGTGTCTGTGATCGGAAGATTGACGGCTTGACTCCCCGAACCAACCAGCCCCACTCTGGGCCCCTGAGCAAGGCCCTCAACCCCCTAGCTGCTCTCTGGGCACCAAAATTGGCAACCCACTGCTCCACATGTGTGTTCACATGTGTGATGGGTTAAATGCAGAGACTCAATTTCCCCTTGCGGGACGATAAGGGTCAATATTTATTTATATTTATTTATTTTACCTGAGCACACACTGCCGTTATGACCTTTAACCCAACTTCCCCATGTATAAATCTGTTGGTGTGATTGTGGTGGTCTGTGGAGACTATAGGTGCAGAATTATTTATGTATTATTATTTATTTATCATTATTTAACCAGGCAAGTCCCGTTGAGACCTCGGATCTCTTTTTCAAGGGAGGCCTGGGCCTCAAGGCAACATATTGCACATGTTTTTAGGGGTGGGTAAAACAGGAGTACCTAGAGAAAACCCACTCAAGCAYGAGGAGAACATGCAAACTCCACACAGAGAGATCCCAGGTCCAAAACGAGGATCAAACCCAGGACTAGGGCTGGGCGATTATTTGATTGCGATTATTGATCGAGAAAAAATTCAGGTCKATCACGGTGATCARCTGTGAGCCTCTTACTCGATCAAACRTGATGGAAATGTACGCGACAACAGCCAATCAGAATCCACCTTCTCCTGCTCCACTTCCGTTTATACGTTGCTAAGGAAACGCAGAMAGAATCTCAGAATTAACCAAAGTAATCCAGTATAAAACGCTGAATCTCAGAGTTTACTTATTTGAGCGAGTTTCTGTGGTACTCTGACCACTGTCACTTCCTACACCTGCTGTTACCTTCTAACAGGCATGCAGGGTGAGCTCTGAGCTCCACTCCCGACAGTGAGAGAGAGAGAGAGAGAGAGAGAGAGAGAGAGAGAGAGAGAGAGAGGTGGAGAGGGAACAAAAGTGAGCTGCGATGCACGACTCGCTAAAGCAAAAGCGTTCTCCAAAAATATGAAGCGGTCTTAGGGTAATGTTTAGGACAGAACAATGCGGTTCTTCATTTATCTGGAGAAGAACTTTTCTGTAAGTTTTATCAGCACATGATGGGCTGGACGCAATATGAAGACCACTTCCTGTCTGAGGCGCATCACAAACAGCAGCTGAGAGACGCTGCAAACTCCTGAACACTCAGAAGCTGTGAGTTTATGCAACATTTTGTCATGTGTGCGGAATCAGATATTCTTTCAGAAAAAAATGAAACAGCGCTGTCCATAAGCACTGTAAACAGGAGCGGGTGGGTGGGGGTGGGGTGGGGGTTCCTTCCATAACAAAAGTAATGAGCTTAGATCCTATTCAGTTGGCAAGTGTGCATAAATTGTTGCTGTTTGTAGGTTTATGTTTCTTTATGGCATATTTAATGTGGAATTCAGTCTAAAACTTTAATTTTACAAAAGGATAACTTTATTAATGTGAGTTTCTATGATTTACACATAAATAATGTTTTTTTTCTTTTAAATACTTTGCAAAAGTAATTTAACGTTCTACTGAACCACAGCTATTTGTTATATTAGTGAAAGTGAAATAACAGCCATTATTTATTTATTTCTGTAGCTATTTATTTGTTAAATAATTTTTCAGTCACTTTTTAGGTTAACAAAAAAAAATTGTAAATTAATCGCAAACAGACGATATGAAAAAAAAAATAATTGTGATCATTTTCGTTTTGCCATATCTCCCAGCCCTACCCAGGACCTTCTTGCTGTACGGTGTCGATGCTAACCACTGAGCCGTCGTGCCGCYAAATGGCAGCCACACTTCCACCACCRAGTATGACTGAGCAATGAATGAATAATGCATGAAATTGTAAAGCCTTTTTGAGCATCTAGAAAAGCACTATATACATACTTATGCATGAATAATATATATGTTGAGTTACTGATCTGTCCAATATGGCAGWATTTTCTTCCTATTATTCTCGACAACACTCAAGAGAAATGCATTGTTAAAAATATCAAAATTTTAAGTACTTTTAGTACTTCAGTACTTTTTGAAARCACACACCCAAGTACTTCAACCTAAGTAATAATTTGGCAGAGCTCCTCTTATTATTATTATTWTTTTTTTGGAGWAATGTTTGACCAGAAGGGTCAGTACTTTGTCTCAAGTAAGGACACTGTACTTTGTCCACCACTGCTAGTGTGACCACAAACATCTAGTTCAACCAACAGCAGTCTGCAGAAAGTTGCACACCTACCCATACATGTTGGAGGATCAGGTTGCCAATAAAATCTGTTGTCCATCCTCACACACGTGATGGTGTCGTGACCTTGTAGGTGATAGCCTGGGTCACACTGGAATGTCATACTGTCACCAGGCTCCTTACTGTCCCCATACCGAGAGCCATTGACAGGGATGCCAGGGTCATTGCAGGAAGTCGCTGTTGTAGCTGGAGAAATRAAATATAAAAAAGAGAAACCCAGATGTTGATTTTTTGTTTAATTAAGCACCTTGTAAATATAAGTAGTAGTGAAGAGGAAAATGCACAKTTATATGCTATCTATGATTTGAACATTTCTCATTGTATGACTTACTTTCATCAGATATTCTTTAGTTACACGTGGCAGTTTTTTTTATAATTTTATATCATTTTCCACACACAGGTTAGTGGAAAAACCAGCAGACCTGGAACTATTTAAGTCTATTTGTCTCTGGTTAAAATAGTTCTGTCCAGTTTTTTAAGCCTGTGCTGATGTGGACTTTGCAAACAACTTCATGTAATACTTCATGAACAACCATTAATACTAGACTTTATTTAGTAAAGAGAGGGAAACTGTTCTCTTTTAGGAACTTGTGAACTGCATAATTCACAAGCATAATTTACAAGAAAAAAAGATAGAGATGATATTATCCACTGCTTGAATTCTTATTATAAATAGTTAAAGGGGCTATATCATGTAAAAACAACTTTTTTGAATTTTATATCATGTTATAATGTTATCTTCTCATCAAAAACAGGCCCAGAGTCTTACTTTGACTCATTCATGCATGTTTAAAAAATCCTGTGCTGTCTTGAGGCAGCCAGGCAGGGGAGCAAAAACGACCGGCTGGGACTAGAACYGCCTTTCGGGACTAGCTCCTCCTCTGGRCTGTGTCTCCTAGCCAAGCTTCCTCATCAAGGAAACACCCCCCACCCCCTCACGTGCACCACCCCTCCCAAGTTATAAAAAATAGAGCCCTGTAGAGGGAGGCGGCAATGATGACGTGTGAAATGGGCGGGACAGAAGCGGAAGGATGTTCTTAAAGAGACAGAGGCCAGTTTCTAGGTGTTTAGAAAAGTAAGTGATGAGAAGATGAGAAGACAAGTTTATTTTCTATGTAAACATAAAAACTGCATTTTAATAACAACTAAATGTGACATAGTTACTTTATTATGGTATAAAATTATAATATAAGCCTGAGAAACACACAATATATCCCCTTTAACAGCATTAACTATAAAGAACCAGGCCAAAAAAAACTTGCAACTTTTTTTAAGAATGCTGTATTCACAAAATTACAACACTACGTTAAACATTTTTCATACATTTTGAATACGCTTATGGTCAAACAAATACTATATATGTTTTAAAAGATTTCCTAGAGCAAATATGCATTTTTTTCCACAGTTCAATTATATTAAAAAATAAAGTAAGGTCACCCATAATGTTCATTAAACCTTTGCTTGTTTGAATGTGTGCAGCACTTAAGTAAATCAGCATAGAGGTAAATATGARAAATCATTACCATAGTAATGGAATAGGAGTGCTTTGATTACCATGTTAGTGAGTGTAAATATTTATTGTTTTAAATAAGAGGAGGATGGCAAGATGCAGAGGGAGATAAAAACTATTGAAAGAAATTTTGCATGACAGGTTTTAAAAATAATGTCTGTAATATACGGTGATGATGCTGTGTTCACATTGAAATACGCAGAAGTAAATACGTATGAACCAAAAAACAAGTTAAATGGTACCACAGTGATGTTGTTTTTTCATAGCTTAAGGTACAAATAAAACACTTTTGATGTGTAATGTGTAACACCAACAAATGCTGAGTTGTTACAATTAGAGTTTTCCTTGTAGTTTGACTTTYATATTTGCTTAACAAAATGATTACCTCATATTTTTGCAATTTCCACAGATAAATATATAAAGTGAAAAACCTTCATGCATTTTTACAAGCTGCAAATAAAATACTTCCATRGTACTCTGCTTTAGAGAAATTGTGACACAATCAAAGCACACCCATTCTTTCTTGGTGGGATCCTTGGTCTACTTAGTGAGCATGGGTCCCAGGATGATTTATTAAATGTCTCATTTGATTCTTTGGTTTGAGATTTTTCAGAAATCCTGTTATGTAAAGTATTTTTGTTATAATACTAATGATGTTATTGCCAATATAAATGGGTTTTTTCTGATCGTTAAAACTGGATGAGTTTGCTAATTAGCTAATTTAATTGCTAAGCCAGTAATTGGCTTTTCTTTATAAAYGTAAATTAGGTACAAAGCACAGCAGACCACACGGATCAGTGATTTGATAAAATTAGGATACATTTGGTATTTTTTTAAGTTCAGTAACAGTTTCATATGTTAAAAACAAAACAAACAAAACAAAAAAAAAAATCAGGAAAAAATACTTACTAGAAAACTGTATAGAGAATCCTTGTTTGCTTATAAAATAATCTGAATCAAACTGCAGAGTGAGAATGTTAAAAGTCGAGTGGATGTCTTCAGGTAAAGCTGGGCCCGACCATTCTTTCAGCAGAATCCCACCGTCAGATGGCCCAGACGGSCCGTCCCAAACTCTCAGAATATCGTGGCCAATTTCAGTGTCAAACACAATAAAGTGAAGACTGAAAAGATATAAAAAAACACAAACATTTTTCACTTTTTCTCAGCAGGCTTTATGTAAAAATTTAAATGAAACAAAACAGACTTGAGATAAAACACATATACATAGTGGCAGACATGCAGATTCAAAAGCACAGTTTTGCCTTTACCTGCTACTTTTACTTTAAAAAACACTTTGGAGTCTKCAGGGCCTAGATAAAGCTCTGTTCAAGTTCATGCCATTCACCTTTTTATTTTATTTTTTTTACCTGTCACTCTGTAAGTAATTGTTCAATATTTTTATCAGTTTATCTTTTTGTAGGATAGAGATTATCCAAAAAAAATGCAACTTTTTTACAACCAAAAATATTTTCAACATGTTCCATATTTACCTGATAGTCTTGCCTGTGTCAGCTTCTATAGTCCAAGTACAGTGGAGGTTGTTGTCATATGGAGCCGGGTATCCAGGWGATAGAATCCGTCCAGAAACCGCTCCATTTATGTGACCTCCACATTCAGCTACAACAAACACATAACGATGAAATCAGTATGGGCTTAAAGTATGATACCTCAAAAATAATTAGATTAATTGATTAGATCAGTTAGTTTTGGCATAAGCAAAGCATATAAAGAAATATATAAATAAATACATCAATTAAAAAAATTGTGTCTGTGTTTTATCATTTCTGGTACTTTTTCCAGTTCTGGTATTGCTTCATTAACATTTGTTTTCTAATGGAGCAGCTTTACTACTTGAAATTGCTGAAAATTACAATTAGATTTGAAGGCCAGGTGAAATAAAGAAAAAAATATAGTTGGGTTTATTAGAATCAACCTTGCTATATTCCTTTTCTTTTAATTAATCTAAGGGTTGTGCTGCTCAGAGGTTTTTCTATCCATAATTGTGCCTCTTTTTTTCTGCTGCTTGAAGCATTCACTCATCAGTTCATTACTGGAAACTTTCTTTCAATGTACTCCCGGATCTTGGTCATTTCATCATGTATAGTAATTCTGATGCTCCCTAGTCCTATGCCTCCCTCCATTCTCTTGGAGTGCAACCCTCTGTTCACTGTAAGAAGCTTTTGAGTCTTGATGTCAGTGGCTTCTGTCTCCTCCTTTGGCCAAGCTAATACACCAGCTGGGTGTTTGATGACCATCATTTCCAGACAAGTAAAATTTATGGATTCAAACAAAATGCTAATTTGCTCCAGGGGATTTAGCCTACTAACTAGAAAAAAAAAATACAACAGTATAAATAAACCAATGCCTCTCCTGCTTTACTGCCTATCATTCAGTAAGGATTCTAACTAGCATGCTGCAGACACTTTAGCTAAAGTAAAGTTCACAAGCTTTTAATCACAATGAAATGGAATCCCAATATATGATAAAGTCACTGAAGTGCTTGTCAGAACTCTCTAACCTATGTATAGTTTAGTCACAATCACATTTATTCTCAGTTGAACTTTAAATACAGTATACATATGCATAAACTATATTTTCTGCAAAAAAAGAATGGTGCTGATTGCACAGCAGTAGTCTCCTTGTGCATTAGTTTTAGATTGTGCTTTAATCAGTATGCACTTGAATAATCTTACTATTTTTCTTTTAAAATGATAAGATGAAATATTATTTTAAGTCACAAATTGAACTTTTTATGTAGTRTGTGTGTGTGCATAACATGTACTGAATGTTTAAAAGGAATACCTCAGAACTGCACTTACTGTGCTAATAAGATTTAAGTTAACACTATTTTAAAAAGTATAACAAGTAGAAGGATTTTGTGGAGGGTAACTTTTAAACATTTGGTTTTTGAATTTAGTTTTAAACATTTGAGTTTGGTTTCACATCTGCCTACAGATTTGGAACAGTTGTTCCAGATTTTGTTTTTATGTACTGAGCTAGTTTATTCAAGAAAAAAGGAAGTTCTCCAGTTGGAATTGTTAATCTTAAATAGAACAATTTAATATATATAAATGTAAAAATAATGACCTAAACTATTGTGCAGATGTGACTGTGTGTGTTCAATCACTAATTCAATACRAAACAATTGTGCTGGTGTGAATGCTTTTGCTTGATTCTACAGTAGTTTTTCATAATTAAAACTACTAAAAAGTAGTAGTACAAGTTCCAAATAAATAAACGGCATTTTATATTTTGCCCATCAAAATCCATTCCGTGGTTTACTGTGCATGCTGAGAGCAAAATGAAGCATAAAAATCTGTCAAACTATTTGGCATGGAGGGAAAAAAAATCAAACACAGTGTTGAAGAGTAAATATATTCTACATGTCAATGATCTTGTTTGCAGAAGAAGCAAAAAGGCCATTTATGATTCAGAGTTGTATTAGTACCACTACACATACAGCACCTCCTACAATGTTGAATGGATTCCCACAAGCTCTTTTTAAAGTATTCAACAGTGTTAATTCAATCATTTCCTCATGCAGTCTTGATTTTGAGTCATTTTGCAGCAGACCAGTATCAGAAGTTGCTTAGAGCTTTTTGTTTTTATTTTTTTTCCCTTTAGCTGTCATCGGACTGCATAAAAATGTGTGCCCAAAGGTTAATAATTAAACTGCTGATTTCATAAATTATTAATGCATAGGGGAACATACTGGCATACTAACCAATACAAGAAGGAAGTGGTTTGTCCCAGACACGTCTGTCACCACTAAGACAGGTCAGTGTGCTGCTGCCATGGAGACTGTACCCAGGGTTGCAAGAGTACAGGACAAACGTGTTGGCATAATGACCATCGTCCTGGGTCTTGTACCCATAACTAGGAACACCGGGCTCCTCGCAGCGCTCTAGTTCAAAACCTATAGAGAAACACAGGACAAAGGAGTTATATATTATAAGTTGTGCAAACGCCTGATRTAGGCTATAAATATGTTAGAAATAAGTTGCTCATAAGTTAGAAATGTGTTACATGCACACTACATGTGTGAACTTGTGCACAACACTGTTTTAAGGCCATGTCACACTATACCATTTTAGATAACTTATGCCAACTTATGACATTTTTTAAGGTTAAATTACAAATAAAAGTTATATATTTGATCAATATGTTAGCATTACAGTTGATTCTTAATTTCATCTTCAACGTACAGTAGATGTCTTGTACAAATGCACCAAATTACTGGCTAGCATCGGTGGCATCAGTGTTTGACAGTTTATCCCATTATATATCAGCATGCTGGTAACTTGTTCAAAATGTATACAGCTTGCACCAGCATGCTTGCCACATTTTTTATATGAAGATGCTATATGCCACTGTGTGGGTGGTAATATTCTATTTGTTTAACTACAAATGAGAATCCAACTTCAGCCAAACAATACATGGAGAGAAAAAATGAAGTAAGTAAAGTTTTCTCAGATGGGGATTAATCTTAAAGGATTATATTGTGGAGAATAAATGCATTGTTTTGCCTTTTTTTGTCAAAGTAAGTCCCGTCTGAACACCACACATTCCCCAAGGAACTAAACAAGCTGTGCAAAAAAGATACAGCCACTTACACTATGTTTTATCTTTTGTGACGGATGTGGGCTTTACTACAGACATTTTGGTTTCTGATATTTACTTGATCAGAATTGTATTCTGACTCTACAATGAATAGCCTATATGCTGTGGTAATAATGACGTATTTCTGGTAAAATTCTTACCACGCTCCTCCCTTCCACTTCCTAGTTACTGCCTATGTTTGTAGTGTAAGCTACTAATACCACGCCGTGAAAAAGTCACAAAAATTAAAGCATCTGTGAGCTACTGATATAAAACGCGAGTTCTGTTGTGTGCCTTTGTGTCAACTAACCAGCAGGTACGATAGAGTAGTTAGTTTTTGTCCATTTTCCTGGAGGAGGAAAGGTGACAGCTGTAGATCATAGCTATACAGGCAAAACTTAGCTATAAGCTCACACTTGCGTTTGCAATCGACATTTCTAACCTGAGAATATTCAAAAGCCAGCATCAGAAATGAGAAGACGGATTTTACAAATGGGAGATGTACAATTATCCCCCTTNTGACCATCGTCCTGGATCTTGTACCCATAACTAGGAACACCGGGCTCCTCGCAGCGCTCTAGTTCAAAACCTATAGAGAAACACAGGACAAAGGAGTTATATATTATAAGTTGTGCAAACGCCTGATATAGGCTATAAATATGTTAG